CGCCTCAGCCTTCCCCAGCAGAGGGTGCCTGCCGGTGGGAAGGGGGAAGCCGCGCTCTCCTGGACTTTTGTGGGAGTGGGGGTTGTGTTGTGTGTGTGGGTTTTAAGGGGGGTGGGGTGGGTTAGGAGAGAGTCTGTGGTTTCCATGGAGATGAAGCTGAAAGTGCAGGAAATTTAAAGGCTTTGGGTCCTTGCAAAGCAGACAAACTGGTGCCAACGTGCGTGGCTGCTGTTGCTGCTGAGGAGGCTGCTTTGCAAACGGCGGAGAGGAGCGGGGAGGAAGAACCGGCAGCTACTTCTTCCACACGCACGGGCAGACAACGAGGAGCGGCAGCAACAAGCAGAATTCGCAACAAAAAGAGGCATCTCCCGTTCCCGGGAAGGGCGAGAAGAAGCAGCAGCAGCAGCAGAATTTTGGAGCGGCTTCACCAGGAGAAATTTTATAGAGAAGCCTGCAAGAGAAGAGTGTTTGCAGGGGGCTTGTTCTCCGCGCTTATCAGGGGGCTGTCTTTGCTGGTGGTGCGGCGAGTGGAGATCGTGATCCCCTTCAAAGACGAGCTATTTTGGATATCCCCGTACAAGTTTTCTGATGTATTTGCTTGCACCTTCTTGCCTTGCTGCTTGGTGAATCCAGCCCCCCTTTCCCCCTCCCCCCCCCACCGGTCTCCCAAGGATGGATCATTCCCAGTGCCTTGTGACTATATACGCCTTGGTGGTTCTGCTGGGTCTCCGGCTAGAGCAGGGCGCCTGCCAGCACTATCTGCACATCCGACCGGCTCCCAGCGACAACTTGCCCTTGGTGGATCTAATCGAGCACCCGGACCCTATCTTTGACCCCAAGGAGAAGGATCTTAACGAGACCTTGCTAAGGAACCTCATGGGCGGACACTTCGACCCCAACTTTATGGCTGTTTCTTTGCCCGAGGACCGGCTCGGAGTGGACGATCTAGCTGAGCTGGACTTGCTGCTCAGGCAAAGACCCTCGGGAGCGATGCCCAGCGAAATCAAAGGGCTGGAGTTCTACGACGGGCTGCAGCCGGGCAAGAAGCACAGGCTGAGCAAGAAGCTGCGCAGGAAGCTGCAGATGTGGCTTTGGTCCCAGACCTTCTGCCCGGTCCTATACACGTGGAACGATCTCGGCAGCCGCTTTTGGCCCCGGTATGTCAAAGTGGGCAGCTGCTACAGTAAAAGGTCTTGTTCAGTCCCCGAAGGCATGGTTTGCAAACCTGCCAAGTCCGTGCATTTAACGATCCTGAGGTGGAGGTGCCAGCGCCGGGGCGGGCAGAGATGCACATGGATACCCATCCAGTACCCCATCATTTCGGAGTGTAAGTGCTCTTGCTAGGGCTGGCACTTCCTTCGCGCCCCTTCTCCAGCGGACTCACGTGGACCTTTGCTGCAACAGAAATAAAAGACATTTGCTTTCTGGTTAACGTTGTAATGCACTGTAACGTGTAGGAGAATGTATATTGTGTGTGTATATATGGCACCGGTTTAATATACTATTAAAAGGTCAGTATTATACGTGAAATAATCAGCGTCTACTGTATTTTCAAGACTATTACCCTGATCGTTGCTAATGTATTCTTTTTTTT